CTCGCAGAGTGGCACCCCGCCCCCGCCCCCGCCCTCGGCTCCCGCGGAGTGAAAGTGAAGGGTGTCGGATTAATCGCGTTAATGTCTGCGAGCGCGCGCGCGCGGATGTAATGCTACAAGATGTCGGACCTCGAGCGCTGAGCTTTCTCCCTTGCGTCGAAGGAAGCGATATCCCTGGAAGGGCGCCCCCAGACGGCGTGGGAGAAAGGGAGGGAGGAGGGAGAGGGGGGTTCATGTTTCGTGTTACAGGGACAATGAAGGATCCCTCATGTCCTGTGGTTTGTTGAGAGTGCTCCGCGATTGTCTAAGAAATGCACTTAGTAGCGGAAATGCAACGTCTTGACTGCTCCCCGGCTTAATTATAGTAGTTTGAACCATCACCAGGGGCGTCCAGGAGTGAGAGCTGGGACCACGTGCCAAAGGCCCCGACTTAATTGGGGCCCCGAGTGTGTTCTTTTTATTCAAAAGAAATGAAAAAATATATTTATCCCTAATGCAAATTGAACGGTACAAACCATTTCTCATGCATGGAGAAATAAATTCTTTTTTGAACTGGGGGAGAATTGATTTTGAGTGTGAGTAAGTGTGAGTATAAAGGGCGAAGATAGGACAAGGAAGAGGTGGAAAAGCGAACGCGGTCCATGGTCCGTTTGTTAGGGTATTGCTTCGGCATTCGCCTGGTGTTGATCGGAGACACCACAGAAAACTACCGAAAAGAGCAGCCGTCCGCTAGAATTCTCCTCCAGACAGCGGCCGAATTGGAATTAGCACGGCAAGCAAGTGTCAAAAAACCTGCCAACATCAGGACACAATAAATAAATAAATAAATAAATAAATAAATAAATAAATAAATAAATAAATAAATAAATAAATTGCTTGTAAATTGTGGACTAAACAAGCTAGTAGAATAAACATACTTGCGGGAAATTTTTCTTTATTATATTTAGAATGGTGTTGGAAACATTTGAATTGATGGCACTATCTTGGGGCATAACATCAACATAAATGATGCCATTAATTGTTGGTAATGCAAATATTAAGGGTGAAAGTTACTAAAAAACATTTCTGTAATTTTCGAAAAAAATAATACGTTAGAGTGGAGTTTATGACATCTTATTCAATCCAGTTAGCACTTTCCAAAGAATAATTTGGAGCAATTTTCGAGAAAATGGCGTTTCATCGGTACAGAAAATGCGAAATTTCGAGATTATTTTCACAAAAAACTTTTCAGTTTTCGAGAAACTTAATCAGTCTTCATTTGAAGCAAATGTACTCACAAATGTAACAATGCGTACAAATCCCCGTTAATGAAAATATTAACAACGTGAGAGAGATGACAAAATAATTACATTTGTGTAATTTAGAAAACCAACAAAAGAAAACAGAAACATGGCGTTTATGTCATCTTATATAGTAATTTTAACTACTATCCCTACTTAAAGTTTACTGAAAAAAACTTTGATCCGTTCTTAAGAATGACGAGGTTCTAATCTATAACATTCTTAAAATCATATTTCATTTCTACCATTAGGAGACAGAAAAATTGAGAAAATGTAAAAAAATATACTTTGGGCGGCTATAGATGACAGCTAGGAAGGGGGAAGGCAGAAAAGGTAGCCTAGACTAAAGAAATTAGAAAAATTTAAAGGATGAGAAAACCAGTGCCATTTTGTAGCATGTGAATAGTTTATTACTATTTCAACAAAATTTTTGAATTACGTTCATATGATTATTTGAAATGATTTTTTTCTTTAAACAAAGGGAAAACAAGATCACAAATCCCATGAATATTTTAAATTTGAATTTCTAATTTTACGTACGTAAAACATATTTCTTTACATATACGAGTAAGAATTATTCGATTGAGAACGTACATCAACAGTGGTAAGGCAACAATTGCTACCTACAAGAAAATCATGTTTGGTCCTATCGTTCCTTAGCAATAGTAATCGCCTAATTTTTACCCCTCTCCAGAGGTCATCAAAAGAGATCTCACGCATTCCAAATTAATGGTGGATTAAGTAAACGCTCACAAATCTTTTATGTGTCATATATGCTGAGTACACAATCAAATAGTGCAAATTAACGAGGTAATTTAGAAATTAAGTTCCTTAATTTTAGACATTTTAATGAAATTTTTTTAGTCGTAGGTGCAATCTTAATTTTGTCTAAAACTAAAGGATTAATTCTATAATCAGTTAAACTAATGTAACTTTGAATATGGACTTGCAAGAGAATGCTTGATATAAATAATTTGATATCACATGAATATTAACAATTTAGAGAAGAATCCTACTTTATGTTATAACTATAAGTGAGAGTACTGTCAATTTGAAGATGAGATATGTTTTAAATACAACTATAAATTTGAATAACAGAAAACGTATTTCAAATGTTTATTTCCGTAAAAAGTATATTTTTGACAGTCACAAGTGATAGCATATCTTTTCAAGCTTTCATTGCGTGCTAAATATTCAATATTTAGAACTAGTGCTGACAGTGAGACGATGCTTAATTGATCAGAATAATCTGTGAATGCAACAAAGAAAATAAAATATTTTCATCTGACCGCTTAAGCTATTACAGACCTAAATGTATTATGAAGCGATTTGTACATTTAAATTGAAAGGCAGTATGGATGTCAAAAATAGTGCACGATACAAGTGGTTAATGTGATTTTATTTTGCTCGTAGGTTTGCCCTACTCGGCCTATCGATCTCGTGTCGCAAATTACAAAAATCATTTTTACCACTGGTATCTAAATAATTTCAGTATATAAAAAATAATGGTTGCGAATGTACAAAACTTGTTGCAGACAACAATTGCTATCTAGAACAAAGTCATATTGTTCCTGTCGTTCCTTAGCAATAACAATATCTCCCCAAACACAGAGGTCACCGAAAGAGGTCTCATGCATTCGAAATTAAATTGATGGTGAATTAAGTGCTCAACTAATGTTTTGTATGTGAAATATTCTATGCACACAACCACGTCAGCTCATGTTAACGAGGTAAATAAGAAATTATTAACATTTCTAAAGTTAAATAATAAAAATAACATTTTTGATCTAGTGGAATCTATTGAGCAATTTTATTTGCTACTAAAGGATAATTATTATAAACAGTTGAGAAAATTAATGGTACTTTTAGCACTGTCATGCATGTGATCATATACTTTAAATAATTAAATGTTTCATGAGTAGTATTAACAAAGAAGAGTGATGAGAGAAAATATTGAGATAAAATAGGTAGTTATTTGGTCAAACTGGCAGTTAACAAAATATAATATTCAGATTATGATCTTAAATCTCATATTTTGACTGACTTGAACATTTTGTGGCGGTCGAATATGCTTAATAGATTGTCTATATTTCACTTTTAATAGGTAAACATTAAATATATTCAGAACTAAATTGTGAATCAACATTTATTCATTCTACTTTGACATTCTACATTATTTAATAAGGGAATGAATGTTGACACTGAAACTGTAGGCTGATTTCAAACTGTAGGCTGATACAAACCAAATAAAATTTGTTATAAGCTAAATTTAGATTATAAAAATAATAGAACATTTATTAATAGCACATTTCTAATAGTAGGCATATTTTCATACAGGAAATGCTGATTTATATCATCTGGCAGATCACCTCCGCAATCGTTCCAGAAGTTTGCATGAACAAAAAATTGTACGCAACATCCTAAACAAACTAAGTACGATATTTGTCTACTTCATGGCCATCACAAGCATCAAGAAAAAGCCAAGTGTCCTCTTCTAAAGGACTCATCTTTATTCACACTCAGAACACGAAGAACTTGGTGATTCATTGGTTTGTGTTCGGGATAAGGTGCTGTGAGAAATATTATGATATTTATCTTGTATGTATGCCACTGCAATGTCCCAAACATCTCCTGGAATTCTCCGCCATGGAGTTCTTCCTGAAAATGAAAACGTTCCTTTAGACATTTGTGATGCACGGATCTCTCTCTTCGCCGCGACCGGCGTTGTTCAGTTACCTCAAACTCCCAATCGCGATCATCGGGAAGCTCCCTGAGAAGATTCTTCGACTGACAATGCTGGACAAACGCCTCCAGGCGAGCGCGCATCGCGTCCACTCGCGCACGATTCCTCGGCGTCCGCCTCCAATCCCCGGCCTGTGAGCGGAGGGGCAATGAAGCCTTGGTCGGGGGACCAGGGCCTTTGTGCTCCTCCAGTTGGGAAACTTCCCGCTGCGGACCAGATTGCCCGAAGCAGTTCACCCTGAAGGCCGTCTCCATACGATGGCCAGCCTTTGAGTGCTCTTGCTTGATTTCATGGTGCCCAACACGCGAGCTGTTCCTCCGGCGATGTCACACGGTCGGAGCGCAAACGGTGCCGCTTGGGAAAATAATTTCCAGCCTTGTGATATAGCCGAGTCTTTTTATCTCCAGTGCCCGCATTCCTGGAAAGCACCAAACCCTGCCTTGCGTGGTCATGATACACGATCGTGAGCAGAATTCTGACAGCCACCGCCACAAGACGTCGGTCTGTCGAGAACGCTGCTGAGTCCGATCCGGCGGCGTGCGACGGGGCCCTAGACCGTCGCCGCCGTGAGGTTTCGTGATCAGCCGTTCTGAACCCGCACTGATGGTTACTGGCTCGCTTGATCGCGTTGATTGCCCAGCCAAGGCACTGCGACCCGCGCGCTGTGGTGTAATGGAGACAAGCGACGACGGCGATGGTGCTGTGGCAACGGTGCTCGTGGGGGTTACGACACACCACCCGCGCCAACGGTCACCGACACGGCAAGTTGCTGCCCCGTGATAACGCTCAACGACACGGAAAGCTGTCACCCGGCGCCAAGGAACACCGACACGGCAAGCTGACTCCCCGCGCCAACGGACAGCGACATGGCAAGCTGACGCCCCGAACCAACGGACACCAACTCGGCAGAATGCAGCCACGCCCATAAGCCGAAGCCATCTTGCACACATGGCGCCATCTGGCACCTCAAACCAACGATGGTGCACGAGGTCGACGACATTATCCGCGCCGACCCGTCACGTGCCATACCCGACCTGCAGGCTGTCCTTGAAGGCAGAGTGCTGGCAGATGGCGGTTTTTCCCCGGAGGGCCCAGGTCGTCTGAATAGCACGGTTCGTTGCTCACCTCTGGACGGTGCGCATTCAAGTGCCGTGTGGCTGCGTCGATGGTGGTCGTATGCAGATGGTCGTTGTCACTGGTCATCTTCTTGGACTGGGAAGTGGGAAAACGACTTTGACTCTGCTGATATGTGCTGCTTGGTGGTTGCGGGCACGCAGTTGAGTTTTTTTTGTTTTTTATTATTTTGGCGGTCGTGGCAATGGAGGTGTTTGATGCTAGTTATCAAAGTGAAGGGAGAAAATTGAATGTAATCAGCGGCCTATGGGATTAAACATGACAAAATGACGTTTGTGGTTTTTGTTATTTCTAGATTTAGAAGAGTAGATTTATACTTGTATTTTATGGCGTAACTCATTTTGTTATTTTTAAAATTTGAAAAATTTTAAGTAATGTCAAAATTTGTTCGAACTTTCTCGAAATGCGCGGGGAACGAGTTAAAAGTTATGACGTCACGATTACGAATCACCACGGTATCCGGAATCGTGACGTGACGTGTAACAGTTGCGACGATCTCCCATCGCTCTCCCCACATAGTTGTGCTCAGAGTAATATAAATCTTGAGCACCGTGATGAGATCTTGGTCGCCGTGACGAGGTGGTTGTGGTCGTGTGAGTGACAGTCATGAGAAAATGTGTTAGCGGCATTAATACTGGCGGTTCCTAGTACTGTTACCAAGCGAGCTATGGCAACATGTTGCCCGCTAGGATTCTAGTGCCGCTTCTAGTATCTCGAACAGCTAGTTCTAAAATGTTTTGTAGGTAGTTCGGGTGTCAGAAGAGGAAGCAAATTATACCGAAGAAATATTCATTCAAACCGGTGAGCGGCAGCCATTTCTTACTACTGTCATGAGATCACATCACGTAGAATCGCGTTGGTACGAATAGAGTTTCAGCTGTTGCTTAAGAGCGACTAACAACATCATTTCGGTAAGCCCATCTTGTTTAATAAGCATTGCACTGTCGACTGCTTCAACTGCGAAGTCGGGCCTTTTGCTGGAAACATTATAAATTAATTTAATATTTAATTTGATTTTTGTTTTGCAAGAGTGGAGTCACCTTGTGTATTCACCTTGATGGGCCATTATTATATCTATTTACATCTGCAGCTTTGCGGTAATTTAAACGTCAAATATATGTTCAGCTTTGTGGTGAACCTATTTATCACTTGTTCTTATGTTCACAACTAGACTAGAATAATTCTAAAGAATGTACTATTTAAAAAATATTTTCGAGCTAATGTACAAAATTAATATAAACATTATTGGGAGCACGAGTAAAGGTCATTACATTTTGTATTGTTTGTATTAGACTCTTTATAGTTATAATAAATGCTAGAATTTATTGGAGCAAAAACTCTCTCACTCTTTTCTTTGAACCAAGTCAATACCACTACACTTCAGAAACATGGTATTGTGCTATTTTAATATGCGATATAAATATTACCTTGAAGTGTACCCGTGGTAGTGAGGTCAATGAACCGTCAATGTATTATACAAAACTGTTATCAGAGTGATGATTTGTGTCTCCGGAACGCTTTATTAAGTATAGAACTAGATTTGTAACACTTTTTACTCAGTATACTGTTGCTCACTATTTTTTAGGCCACGAAAGTGCCATTTTATGCTTGCTGTTCATGTTTGTCAGACTCAGCGAGAGAGCTCTAGTATTCTAAAATAGTAGAAAATGATCCATGTTAATTAACGAAAATATAATTAGAGCAGTTACAAAAAGAATACGATCACCCCAATAGGTAATAATAATTTGCATTTGAAAATATTAAGAAAAAACAGTTAGAAAATATAAATTTGATTTCACAATTTTTCAGTTTTAAAAAAGAATTACTATTTAATTTAAAAAATAAACAATACTCTCTATGACACCTTATCCCTCCTTAACTCGGATGCAAATATTTTAACTGATGATGACTTCAGAATAATGATTCATTTCTCCGTTTTATCCTTGTGTGACTTAAGCGCTTTTATGACTGAACACAATTTATTTGCATATAATACAATTGAAGGGCAGATGCTTATCTAGAGTGAATTCTCTTGTATTCAATTTCCAAAAAATTGATGACTGAATAGATGTCATTACTTTAAATAAAAAAATGTTTGATTTTCTTACGGTTTTGATTGGAAATGGAAAACTATTAACATATCAGAGAAATTTATGCATTTACCAAAATGTTTGTTCCAGTGATATTTCAGCACGTTAATTATTATGCAAGAACACTGTACACTATAAAATAATATTGTTTATCATAAAATCACCATAAAATGTGCACATATTTGTATTGATAAATTGATATAATCTTCTAATCTGAATAGAAAAAATATTTGCAAAGGAGAATTATGAATGACAGCGTACTTCCGAGCGCATTGTTTTAAATCATTGTGTTATATTACATCAGATCGGTTCCACTTTAGAGGGATGTACTCTGGGGTATATTCTGTCACAAACACCTGCTTGCCTCTTGTAGAATCTCCACTTAGCGAGAGCGGGCATTCAACTATCCCTTTCACCTGAGTAACCAATTTGTAACCGACAATGACTCAATTTCGCCTTCCCCTGAGTGCGCCCTCGCTCAACAGCAGCTTCTGTGGCCCTTCTCCGCGACTGTCTCACTTATTCAATCCTCTGATATTGATTGCGCAACGGCATTCAAGGAAAGGATGTCCAAAAGTGGAGCTTTGCGGTAGTGAAGAAGGATGAACGCACATGCAGTGCCAATCCTATAATATATCTATTTAAATTTAATAAAAATACGGTCATTAAAATATTGAGTTTTACTTTCTTGCCCTTACGAAAGGAAGAGAAAGTTATGTAATCGTGCTTTGAAAAAAGAGGAAACTTCGGAAACAATATTTTAATTCTTTAATGTACATGAATTATTTTTTCCTACGAATTACTTAATTTTAGACTAATTTTATATTCTTATGGCCGAGTATTTTTATGTCAGTTATTTTTAAAACGTGTAATAATTTAACCCTTCGATGCACGGAGATCGGATTTTACGTCTTTCCACTTAGTGCACCTGAAAGGCCATACATAGTAATACACTGGATTGGGGCCAAAATGAAGAAGTAATGAATGTTTTTTAATAAAATTGTATTTTAAATTTTGAACACATATTTAGATGGTTTACACATTTCAGCTCATGTTGTTTGAATGCTCTTGTAAACTTTACTTTTGCACTAGGAGCACTAGTGTTTGTATGTGTATGGAATAAATAGCACTCGGAACGAAAGTAACGACGTAAATAGAAACAATTTATAAGAACTTTATCATGATATTAACATTTGTAAATGTTTGTCTTGCCTTTTCCTTTTCTTTGGAGATGATCTCTCTGGGATTTCCGAACTTGTGTTGCTATGTACTCCGAACACTTGAAGAACGGAATGATAGCATATGTTCCTCTTGCCTTCGTATGAGGAGAGATAATACTGTTAATTGATTTAAACATATACACTATTTCCCATTTGCATTACGCTGATGAGCTTGAAGCACATTTGGCAAGATTATGTACGCTTTTAAAGCAGCAACGTCTATCATGTTATAAAATGGCCTCATATACCATTGCCGAGTTTGCCTTCGAGATTTGTAATACTTGTAATATAATGTTTGTAATTTGTAAAATTTGTAATTTGTCAACCAATTTTTTGTGTGAGAAAATTTGTACGCGAGAATAATTGATGGTGTATTTCATCGTCACTTGCTTCGTGGATCTGATGCATAGTGCTGAGAAGTTACATAAAATTTTTTATTGGATTACGTGAAACAATAGTAAGAATTTTATTCATTCTAAAACAATTATATATTTCAATAGTAATTATTTACAATAATCGGAGAAAGTATGTGCTATTACACCTTCTCTAGTTTTAATCTTTAATCATCGGCATTCATTGATTCTCCGCCGCCTCCCCGCGCCCTTCACCCCTCGCGCCTCGCCCCTCCCCCTCGCTCCTCAAGGTATCTCTGGCGCTGGCGACGGCCCTACTGCCTCCCCCGTTGCCACACCCACAGCCTCCTCCATCGCAGCCTCCGCCCGCCCGCCCCCCTTTGTCTGGCCGCGTTTCGTCCGGCGAATGAAGCAGCAACTGTCACGCGGATAATAGCGCCTCTTTATCTAACGTGAAAAAGAAGGCCCGTCATTTGTGGGGAGTCAACGCCCCCGCTTTCAGTCGCTGGGGCTGTGGAGAGCGCATGCGGAGTGGGCGTGGGTGGGCACGGGGACGTGGACGGGGACGGAGGCGAGAGCGCTGGGAGGCTTGGACGCAGGGGTTGGGACGGTGGTGAGTGTGGGAAGACGCGGACTACCCCAATGATGCAGACAACAGACACGACTCGGGGACTCCTCGTCCCAGACGAATTTGCTTCCAAATATAGGGAACAATTAGGAAGACACCTTTACCCTGTCGGATATTCAGCTTTAAACTATTTTCTAAACATTTCAAAATGTGCCAAGAATACTGTGACCAAACTTCAAGATCTCAAAATGAAAATGCCGTACTCATTTATAAGATTATTGAGTGTAGATATAACATTTGCTAACTCGGACTCATTTATTTTTTTACTATTTTATACTAATGAAACGAATATCTTATGTTTGTGATTCAACGGGGCATGAAAAACAGGATTTTTCGTGGAGCTGAATAATCCATTTTCGAGTTTCGTCGTCTGTGAAACAGACACTATGGATTAGGTATTTGCTATTCCTTTTTCTTTAAAAAAGATTAGATTTTTCGAAAGTTCCATTTAAAATACATTTTGATTCCAAAATCATTAACTTAGAAAATGAAATTACAAGTCAAGTATAAGTCATTCCTCTCATTGTTAGAAGGGAATTTTCCTGTCGAGAATAAAGAAACGGGGAACCTTAATGAAGAAACAACTCTGCCTATAAAGCTTTATATTGGCAACAGAAAGTACTAATAAACTTATACTTTTGTCACCAAAAGAGAACTACTTGTATAAAACGTGTATCTCTCGTCTCGTAGAATACTATAAGGGTTTGGATGATATATTCACTGTATGGACCACGGTGAAGTTCTCCCAAATATACTACTGTAAATGATAGTAAAATCTGTTTTTCAAGAGGGCAAGGTAAAATTTGGCCCTTACCGGCCTATTTTTTCATAAGAGTAATATGAATGAGTACAGGATCTTACGGAAAAACGTTTCGTGAACTTAGGTTTCACAAAACCAATATAACATCTCTTTTATTTAACATACCTAAGTGAAATTAG